CAGGTGCCTCACCCTACATGGGAGGAGATGAAATGATGGCCTGCTCCACAGCAGTGTCATCGCCTCTCTTAGCGCTTTCTTTGAGTTAAAAAAATTTTAAGACTAGATCATGAAAGTGTTTTTTGTTTTCAAACATTACTTTGGTATAGAAAATTAGAGGACATAGCTGAAAACCAAGTTAAAAGTAGAAGCACTGTGTGTAGCCTTTTGGGCTCTGTCACTCTCGCTCTCACACGTGTGCACGGGTGCATACACACATGCACACGTACATCGGGTGGTGTGTAGCGAAGATAGGCCCCAGCCTCTGAAGATGGGCTGCCTGGGACCAAGATGGGCGCTGATGCCCGAGAGCCCTCATCAGGCTTTGGTCTTCCCTGCTCTCTCACCTGTTTAGGATGATGGGCACCTGGCGTGTGGCTGGTGCTGGGGTGAAGGCCGCCGCTGGGATGGGCTTCAGCCATCATTGCAGTTCATCAAGGCCTTTGATAGTTAGGATGCATGTAATTAATTGATCCATTCCATCGTCTGATGAGGTGTCAAATAAAAAGGCATTTTTATGTGATAATTGTAACAGGGATCTGGGTAATAAGAATGATAAATTCTATATGGCTCTTCTGTCTACAGATTGAAGTCCTGTTAGCTGGTTGCAGGTTAGCTGTCCAGAGTCTAGGAATTATTTTCTTGGGCCACTAACGTGATAAGTTTTTAAAAATACCTTTTTTTGGTGGGGCAAGCCCCCTATAGTTTACCAAAGCCCCCTGGCCCCTATATCCTCCTGTCCTGTACCTGGTTTGCTTTACTCACTGGCCTGGCCCATCTGACCGCTTGTGGACATTTACGTCTCTGTTCCAGCTTAAGAGACACACCTGGCTGAGGACTGTTACAAGCAGCAGTTAACATAATGGGCTTGACAGAACCCCCATACGTGCCCATGTCAGAGTCCTGGTGTTGCTATGGTACCACAGTTACGTAAGATGTAACCCCTGGGGAGACCGGGGTGTGCATGACCGACCTCTTGGTATTATCTTCGCAACTTCATGAGAATCTATAATTACTCCAAAATGAAAACTGAAAACCAGAAACGCCTCTTCCTGTCTGGGGGGTCCGGAGCCAGTTGCCTCTTCAGAGCAGTCAGTGTGCCTTCCTGGAGTGTGCGTGTCATTCAGAAGCTGAGCCTGTGACCTAAAAATGTCATTTCCCACAAAAGGTGAGCAAGTTCATCGATACACACCTGACTGGGATGAATCCTTGGCTCCCAAAGATGTCGGACCCAGTGGTTTGCTTATCTTCTCCACCGCTTCTCGCCGTTTTGCTGGACGTCAGATTTAATTTAAAATCTTGGCTCTTCTCCGTGAGGGCCGATATTTAGATGGAGTCTTAAGACACTATTAAGAGATTGAGCAAAACCAGAAGTAAAGCAGCCACTTGAAACCGTTCAGTGCCGGCTGCCAAGTCAAAGATGAACAAGGAGCCAAGTGTCAGCCTGTGAGATAGGAGCTCAAGTGAGGGGAC